ATATATATATATATATAAATAATCACTCTCTCTAATTGTGGCGTCATCATTGTCCTCGGTCTAGAAGGATATCCAGCCTGTTTAATGGAAGATCCAGTTTCGCGCAGTCTAACGAGTAATCTGGTGAAAGATCTTTCTGCTAGAATATCTCTGTTAGGATATCTTTCTCGACTGAGTCCGGCAATGTATGGCGAGATTTGTAGGTGAAAATTGATCGTCCGGCCTTGCGTTTCGAACCACCGGTTCGCACAACGAAGGATTAAGTGAGTAGAGCAAACCACCAACGTCAACCCATCAGGCTACCGTCCCACCTTACTCACCTTGCAATGTTCTGGCACCATGTGCAGCTTCGCTGATGTCACCGTTATTATATATGAATCAGAATCGTGAAATGACTTAAAGAAAAAAGTAGAACACGCAGTGATCATCTTCAAAGAGGAAGATTAAAACTAAAAACTAACGCGAGCTAACGCTATTTATGCTATATAGATATCCCATACAGGTAAACCATCCAGGCGTACCACCCATACAGGTATACCTACCTAAATTAATTTTACAATTTTGCCATATCCATTGTTATACAATATACGGCGTGACTCACGGTCGATGGTAGGTTAGACGTTTCTGGAAAACGCAAAGCATGATTCTTCTGAAAATTTCACCCCCCACATTTCCTTACCTGTTCTATCGATCTAAAATATTTTCAGCATTGCGGCGTTGCCACTTCTATCAAAAAGTCCTAGCAATTTTTTTTTTAATGGAACACCCCGTATATTAATACATTTTTGGAATCGCTCTAGTATTTTAATACTTTTTTGTTGATAATGTCATATACCTATCTCTATCTGTTTTCGAGATAAAAAAAAAGTGCTAAATATGGTCCAAAACATAGCCTTAATTGAAATTAAGTATCTACATCAGTACTCTCAATTCATGAAAAGTTCATATTTTGATGATAGTTTGGACAAACTCGAAATAATCAAATAACACCAATAAATCGACCACGTGGCGTGCCAAAATTATTATTATTTCCATTGTGCATAAAAGTAGTCAAAAGTTCATTTTTTCAAATAAAACACCCTGTATATTACTCGGAAAATTGAAAGATGATGAAAAATGCTTCAAGATGATATATCATGTCCCTATACCTAAATCGTCAAGTTTTCTCAATAAAGTCGCTTCTTCTAGAAACATTATTTTTTTTTAGAATTTCGATTTAGGAAGCAGTGGAATTATCAAGCTTATAGCAGTTCGGTTACTTTTATAAGTAATTTACAAAGAGTTATCGACGGTGTTTCGAAAAGTAAGTGAAAAGTAAGATTTTGTGGACTAAAACATGTGAAAGTACAGACAATACCAGAATAGGATGATTCAAAATAACAAAATTGTAAACAAAATATCAAATTTTCACAATAAATGCTGAAAATGTTGTCCATTACATTCTAAACACTTTGAAATGGTTTTTTGTACGCGACACTGTGGTTGCTTTTTTAAATTCCTGGGGATCCAGATCTTCAATACTCCGCACTATCCGCCGTCGCAATTCTTCTTTGGTAGGCACTGGAGTACTGTGTACCCTTTCTTTTAAAGCACCCCATGAAAAAAGTCAAGTGGCGTGAGATCGGGTGATCTCGGTGGCCAATCCCACGGCCCTAAACGCCTAAACCAACGATCGTCGAAGAGTTTGTCAAGTTAATTGGTGTTAATTCAGAATACATTTGGTTGAATTTTTTACAAGTTCTGGTAATGATTTTATCACACTGTCCGTGTATAATAAATAATTTCATAAGAACTTCGTTTGAATAATTAATATTTGCATTCATTTTTGGCGATTTCTTGAAACACCGTCAATAACCATTTATCAATTACTTATAAAAGTAACCGAACTGCTATAAGCTTAATAATTCCACTACCTAAATCCAAATTCTAAAAAACAGAATGTTTCTAGAAGAAGCGACTTTATTGAGAAAATTTGACGATTTATGTATAGGGACATGATGTATCACCTCGAAACATTTTTCACCAAGTAATATACAGGGGGTTTCATTTGAAAAAATGAACTTTTGACTACTTTTATGCACAATGTAATTAATAGTAATTTTAGCACGCCTCGTAAGATATGGAGTCGATTTATTGATGTTATTTGAATATTCCGAGTTTGTCCAAACTATCTTCAAAATATCAACTTTTCATGAATTGAGAGTACTGATGTACTTAATTACAATTAAGGCTATGTTTTGGACCATATTTTGCACAATTTATTTTTTATCTCGAAAACAGATAGAGATAGGTATAGGACATTATTAACAGAAAAGTATTAAAATACCAGAGTGATTCCAAAAATATATTAATATACGGGGTGTTCCATTTAAAAAAATAAAGTTGCTAGGACTTTTTGATGGAAGTGGCAACTTCCATCAAATTTCCGCAATGCTGAAAATATTTTAGATCGATAGAACAGGTAAGGAAATGTAAGAGGTGAAATTTTCAGAAAAATCATGTTTTGCGTTTTCCAGAAACATCTAACCTGCCGTGAGTCACGCTGTATAATATGAGGTAATAAGCTTGAGGTCAGTTCAGAAGATGCTCGAAATGATTGCCTTGAACTTCTTGACATATGAACAGCCTATCCCATATTTCACGCTGAACATTTTCGAACACAGTAACGTCAATATCTTTACTAATATACATTACTCTCTGCCGTATTGCCAATATTGCAGCAGGTTCAGTTGCGTACACCTTTTGCTTCAAAAAAGCCCCATAAAAAAGTCCGAAGGTGTCAAATCTGACGAGCGTGCTGGCCATTCTGTAGGACCTCGACGGCCAATCCAACGATCGGTTGTAGTATCCAAGTAATTTCCGAGTAGTATCCAAATCAATTTCACTTTATATTGATGATTGTATTATTCATGTAACTTTCACCTTTTTATGCATGTACAAGTTTTCCTTTTTTTCTTTTCTTTTCTCCTTGCTTTGCATCTTTTATATTAAAAAACTAATCAATATAGTTTGTTATATGATTTTCACTATAAAAGCAGCAATCATTGTTTATTAGCACTGAAATTTTCTCCTTTAGCGAAATTCATTTCTTCAGTGACTTGTTTTAGCGGAATACCTCAGAATGTAAAATATTTTGAATTTTATTTTTTTGTTTTGTACAATTTTTTTATATTCAATGTCGCTAATAAACATTATTATTATTATTGTATGTTCCAATTTCTGAAGTATGATACAGGCACTGCTCCAGACACCTGCTCAGATACTCATTACATATTGTGGAGATGAATCTGCTGATGAATCTCAGACGGAAAAGCACATTATTTATTTTTCTTCAAATTGCTAACACGATGCATGCTGTTTGAAAATATTTTCTTCATTACGAAGGAAACGACTAGGAAGATAGCTATCAGACATAGAGAAACAAATGATAAGATATCGATAAGGTATCTTTGATACCATTCCAGTTCTGAAGCAGCTGATTTGAGATGAGGAGCTCCACGATACCGTATGACATAATCTATCCAGAACACTGCTTCTTCGAGAGGTGGCATCGGCCGATCGTGCATGATTTGTGACCGAAGTTTCGCATTCCGTCTGTATCTGAAATCAAACATAGGCACATTATTCTTCAGATATATGCATTTTCAAAAAATTGTCCAAACTATTAAGTTTATCGCCCACTTGTCCGGCACAGCAACCACAGCCCGTCCCGTCAAAATACGAATAGGATTGGAACAATGAAAATGAATGGATAACCGCCCAGTTCTCCGATCCTGTCCGGCAAATAACAGTACGTGCTGTGACGGACCGGCCAGCGCTTCACTTTAACTTGTTGACAGCACAGTGTGAGACGGTACCTAAAAAAATGGACGAGGAAAAATTTAGTTGGTTGTTAAGACATGCTGTAGAATATCCAGAAGTTCTGAAACATTCGGAAACAATGAAAAAATTTCTCCCCGTCTTCTTTCAGGGCATTGAAGAGATGATGAAACTCTTCCAGATTTGCCCCTTTTGATCAATGGGATGGACCCACATCCTTCTTTTTTTGTGACTATTTTCTTATACATTCAATAATGCGGCCACTATAATGACGAACTCTTCGTCAGAACTGCTAGTGATAGACATGTTTCTGTCACCGCTCGATGTCAACTGAAATTCCCTTTTCGAATTAACAACACTTTCAGTATGCTGGTTATAGCTGGACAAGAGACCGTTGCTACTACAATAGTCTACTTTTTTTTGTAACGTTTTTCAGCCCTGTCCAAAAATTACGACCAAGGTGTCATTCGATTCGTATTTTTGCCTAGAAAGTTTGAGGGAAGGTTCGAAAACGCGTCGATAAAAATCACAGAAGTTATAAACAATTGAGTGAAAAAAAAATGGGGCTTTAGTTTTTTCTTAATATCTCGGAAAATTTTCAAAATTTTGGAAATTTGAAAAAAGATTTGAAAAGATCAATGACTTCGATATTGTGATGATTCGTACTGTGTTATTCACTGTAACTTGCATTGCAAGGCTGCTGGTGAGAAAAAAAGTATTTGTTTGAATTGAAACGAATAAATCTTTAGATAGATATATAGTCACTACATGGGCTAAGAAGTCTTGGTCCTAACACATAGATGGAGCTAGTCTTATTGAATTCACCACTGTTTCAGTTAGTACTACCTATCAAAAGAGAGCTGTTGAGATTTTATGATATTCTACTCATAAGTTTGTGAGTTATTGCGTTAATAATGACAGTACTTTTGTTAATTTCGAAACAATCGATTAAAAACAATTTTCTGTTTCAATTTTACACTTCTTCTTGATAGGAAAAATACCGTTCAAAAGAAGCAATGGGTTGAAAAATGTTACAAGGTCTCCGCTCCAACAGAAACATCAAACCGAAGTGCTGCTTCATCAAGACAATGTACTGTGTCACAAATCAACGAAAACGATGGCAAAGTTGCATGAAATGGGAATTTTCTGCAGATTTGACTCCCACCGACTACTGGCTATCCGTAGACCTCAAAAAAATGCTCACTGGTGAGATATTTTGCTCAAATGAAGAGGTCCTACAAAAGTGGTATTGGAATGTTAGAGCGGCGCTGGAATGATTTGTGGCTCTTGGTGGAGATTTTGAATAAAAAAAAAAAACGCGTTTTCTTTATAAGGCCCGAGATTTTTCATCCCAGATAGATATGCAACCCAATTACAACTAGATTACTTTTGTGATATCTAAAGAAAATCAGTTCATTCCACTCAGATATTTTTTTCAAAATACTGATATGTTAAGTTTAAGAGAGATAAGGAGGTCCAATGTGAATTGGTGTATGATCAATAAATGTCTATCTATCTATCCATCTATCTATTTGTCAAAATCTCCATTCGGAGATCTGTAAACGGAATAAACAAGTATGGCATAGTTTTCTATGAGAACATCACAAATTTTAAAACATTCTTTGGTACAAAAAGGGCTCAGATAATCCAAAGTTATTACATTCAGGTTATTCCAGAAGCTTGAATGTTTTGTGGAAAAATCTTTCTTATTGTTTCATTCCTAACAGACCACTAGTTACTCCTGAAAACGAGTATGATGAGATAATTGATATTCGTTACGTATACAAGGTAGATAGTAATTACTTAAACTAAAGCCTCATTTTTTTTTCACTTAATTGTTTATAACTTTTGTATGTTTTATCGCCGCGTTTTCGGACCTTTCCTCCAACTTTCTAGGCAAAAACACGAATCGAATGACACGAATGAGCGCGTAATTTTTGGACAGGGCTGAAAAATGTCACCAAAAAGAGCTAAATCGAGTGGTGTGCTGTGCCGGACAAGTAGGCGACAAGATTTATACCTAGAGATGAGGAAAAACTAACTCACTTTTTATCATTCAGTATTTGATGCAAGGCGGTCCCAAACGTTTCCTCGGTGAGATCCTCTAAACTCAGTTTGATGGCCATATTTCTCCTCACAACTTCTTCAATATTTTTATTTTGATCCCAAAATGTTGGAATCCCAAGAATTGGCACACCGAAATAGACTGCTTCTATAGTACCCAAGAGGCCACCGTGGCCAATGAAAGCCACAGTATTTGGATGCGCTGAAACATTCGTAAGAGTGTTTTGATCATGTACTCAGAATCACACATTTTTATTCATTGCATTCATGTTTCAATGACATGTATCGTTGTTTCGTCATATATTTCGCCAGTGGTATTCGGCTAGTTTATGTCAGAGTTGTCAAAGTTTGAAAGTCTCTGTAGGAAGACCCTGTACAGTGAACATACCATTCATTATTTCAGTGTGGTAGATCGAAATTGCGCGATTTGGTAACTATACCTGTTCACAATGGAAGCTGTAGTAGCATAGATAGAAATCTATTTTCCATCCTCAGTACGATACGAGGTTTGGTTTCCCCAGTTTTCTAAGAATCCCACAGATGGCGTATTCTTCAGGAGATGTCATCTCCACTTCACATGACTTTTTGTAAAAATGAATAAGTGTCATGTGAAATGAAATTCACAAGACAAGGTTGAAAACTGTTGCTGAAATTCATAGAAGTAATACATGTCAGTACAAAAAGTCAAGTCACTGAGTTGGAATAACTTGATTCCTCACTGAGGCACAATAATTACATGAATGACTCCCCATGAAACATCCGAAAGTTTTCGAAATATGAAGAGAAAGAGAGAGACAAGAAATATGACAATGACATCTGTCATGGAATTCAGTTCAAAATTTGTTAGTCTAGGCCAAAATCATGGAACAATCAGATCAGATTTAGTGCAAGTATAATGAGAGACATCTGCTGTTGAAGTATGCATACCAATGAGAAAACACCAAGGCCAAATTCATTAAGAAACATCCATCAAAAAAACTACGAACATCAAATATTATATTGGAAACTTGACAATACTTTATTATGTAAAGATAAATTACGTTTTCATTGAGAAAATGATATCAAGTAATGAATAATAACTTCAATAATCAAGATTTGGAATGTACTTTATAATCACTAGAGGAATTTATATTCTGTAATAACTATATGGGAAAGTAGTATCAATTGATAATCAATTTATGGTGGTGAGCTTTCAGAAATGTTTCTACTTCGGAATTCATGTATATTTTTATCAATTTCGAACAAAAAGGAATGTCTTTCGCTGCGTTGGTTTATATCTGAACTTATGTTAAGAGAGTTTCCTGATTGAATTAAGATATTCCCAGGAACAATTTCTCAGACCACTTTTTTTCAATTGTCAAAATTTCAGTTGAATTATAGTCTGCTGAGAGCACATCTCTCAAGGTTTCACTTACTATCACTTCTGTGGTAAGCAATCCGATATTTGAGTAATCTTAATGTTTGACCAATATATTCACTTTTACAGTTATTAAATGGTATTGAGTAAACTAATTTCGAATTGAAGTTGTTGGGAGTTTATTGACTGTGAGAATGATTCTGAAAACTTTTTCCATATTTGAATTTATGAAAATTCTACACAACTCAGGTATCTGGGATCTTGAAGTGGATTAGTCACATTTGTGATACTATTAGACTGTAAAAGGAACTGATTCATTGTGAGTATCAACAGTTCTAACATTTTAACATTCACACAAGCTCCCTGATGAAGCCAGTAACCATTGTCGAAATATCGAAATTATTATGTGTTAAGAATAAACTTGGGCTTTCCAGCTAAATGTTGATCATATGACGGTATTTCGAATTTTAAAGGAACAACTCTCATACCCTTACCATCTGCAACGAGTACAGTCACTGTTACCGCTGCTATGCCATATGAAACATAACACATGAAATGATGATAATTGATTTCAAAATTCTCCAAAGAAGAGTGTAATAATAGTTTACCGCAGCTTGTAACTTGGACATGGAAATATTCACTACAACTGTGTAATCTAAGAGATTTTTTTTGTCAGTCATTCATTATGAATAGTACTAAACACGAATTGTACTTATCTAATTATCTTTTATTATAGTTTTGCATATAGACATAATATGTGTTTTATGGCAATCTTTGCCCCACTATTAATATGTCTCCTCTAATTTCTCGAGTATAGAGTTTTTTGCTTGATTGTTTACGAGATTGTTCTAAACTGTTATTCAATATTTACCTATTAATGATTGTTTCTAAGAAAATGATATGGTTACTATGATTTACTTTTCACTCTTCATTGGAAAATTTTTCAGTAACAAATTTCCATTTGAAAAAATTGAAACGAAATGTTCTGCAGATTCATTGGGTTTTTAGCCTCAAATAAACCAGTTCGCACCAAAAAATTATTTTACGAACAACTACAGAGATACATCGTCACAAATGCGAAAATACGAAACTAATCTATCTAGTAGGTCGCTATTAGCGATAGTGACAATTGAATTGGTATGACGCTGTCGTGATGTATTGGTGTGCCATCAAGCTGATACCATAGGTCGTATTTAATATTTAAAGGAATATTATCTAAAACTTCACTAACCTCATTATTTAAAAGGTTGAGATAACCGACGGATGATAAATTTT